GGTGGTGCCAGCACCAGGGCCTGTCAGGGCCCGGTACCCGCAGGGGCCGACGTCTCGCCCATTGCTAGCTGAGCCACTGCTGGGGGCTCCACCCTGTGGACCCGCAGGTCCCCACTGCCGGGAGTGCTGCGGCTGGCCCTGTTGCTGTAGAACTCTGGTACACACCATGTGAGCCTAAGCTGCTGCTGGTTCTGCTGGGGGCAGCCTAAGCTGCTGCTGGTGCGCTGGCGGCAGCCTAAAGTGCTACTGGTGCGCTGGGGGCAGCCTATGCTGCTGCTGGTTCTGCTGGGGGCAGCCTAAGCTGCAGCTGGTGCGCTGGCGGCAGCCTAAAGTGCTACTGGTGCGCTGGGGGCAGCCTATGCTGCTGCTGGTTCTGCTGGGGGCAGCCTAAGTTGCTGCTGGTGTGCCGGGGGCAGCCTATGCTGCTGCTGGTTTTGCTGGGGGGGTAGTTGAAGTTGCTGCTAGTGTGCTGACGGAAGTGGAAGCTGCTGCTGGTGCTACTGGCGGCAGTCTAAGCTGCTGGTGGTGCTCCTGGCAGTAGTCTAGGTTGCTGGTGCTACTGGCGGCGGGTGTGGCAGCTCGTGGGGAGGCGGGTGTCAGGAGGGGCGGCTGTTAAGGCAGCGGGCGACGGGTGGGGAAGGTAAGGCGGCGGTTCTGTGCGGTTCTGTACGGTTCAGTGCGGTTCTGCGCGATTCTGCACGGTTCTGTGTGGTTCTGTGCGGTTCTGCGCTATTCTGCACGGTTTTGTGCGGTTTTGTGCAGTGGAGAGTACTGGGTGGGGCGGCTGATTCCTGGTGAGGTGACTAGAACGGGTGGGGCAGCAGGTTTCCTGGTGGGGCGGCAGTTTCCAGGTCTGGGGCAGTGGTTTGCAGTTCCTGTGACGGCCGATTTCTGGTGTGGCGGCGGTTTTCTGCTCGTGGGGCGGCAAATAGCGGGTGAGGCGACAGCTAACAGCCTGGGCGGCGGGTAAGGCAGCGGGTGGGGCCGTGTCTAACGGATGGGGCGGCGGTTACGACGGTGGGAAACGGGTGGGGCGACGGGTCGCTGGTGCGCGCGGCTGCTGCTGTGCGTGCGTGCGACTAACTACGGAGCCGCGGGGCCCGCTAACAAAAGGCCGCGGGGCCCACTAACAAAAGGCCGCGGGGCCCGTTAACTAACAGCCGCGACGGGTGACGGGCGACCGAAAAAAAAAAAAGGAAAACGGCCGCGATCGACGGGGGGGGGGGGGGGGTCTACGGACGACGGGGCCTAAGGTAAGCGCGATTCGGGGGGTCTAGGACGGGGCGCGACTAGGTGGGCCCATGATTGTCAAGTGATTTTTCCTAAGGGGAAAATCTCGCTAGGGTTAACCTAGCTCTATACCATGTCACAATATAAAATTGACGAAAACAAAAAAGTACAAACAAGATATATGCAAAACCTAACCCTAGTGCAAGTACAAAATAAAACAAGGGAAAACACCTAGACTAGAACTACACAAACTATAGAATTATTGTTTGACAGTTACAGACCCAGCAGAAGAGGGTACATGAGGAGTCACGGCCGCAGCAGGAGAGGGTAGCGCAGGAGTCCCGATCGCAGCAGCGGGTGCAGCTGCAGTCGCAGCAGGAGAGGGCAGAGGAGGAGCCACAGGAGCTACAGCAGGGGCCGGTGCCGTCGCAGCAGACGCCAGAGGAGGCGGAGCAGCAGCGACTGCGACTACGCGACCTCCCCGACCAAGCACCTGCACGCTTTGTTCGTGGTCCCCTACCGTCCCCTCCTGTTCCCCCTGTTGAGTCCCTTTCCTCGTCCCAGTGGACTCGTCGTTCTCCCCTTAGTCGTGCTGTGTCTCCAAAGCCCCGTCGGTCTCGTTACCGTGCAGACCGCCCGTTTCACCTTGCTCTCCGCTCTCGTGTTCCACCTCCTCCAGTCCTTCCACAGCCTCCTGAGTCGTCCCTCACTGTGCTTCACGACCCGTTGTCCGACTACCTCCGTACCTCCCGTCCTGTCGTCTCCCGTGTATTGTCCGCGTTGGTCACTCACCCGACTGCACCCCTATCGTCTGTCTCAGCACTTGTTACGACTGTCGCTGGCTTTGCCTCTTCCCACCGCCTTGACTACACCGCTCACTGGGTGAGTGGCCCTGCTCGTTCTCCGTCCTCTGGGGGCGCTCCTGTCTTTCCCTTGGAGGTCCTCGAGGACAGGCAGTTTGAGCTTGGTTTCCTTGCGGCCGCTGTTCCTCATCTCTGCGCCATGCTACTTACCCCTGAGGGGGATCCAGACGCCCTTGACATCCCGATCCCTCGCACTCACGCCGAGGCGGTGTCGGGACCTTGGGCCTCGTACTAGATAGCAGTTGAGGAGGCAGAGATGGCATCTTATAGGTCCACAGGCACTTACGTCGACGCAGTCCCACCACATGGGACGAACGTCGTTAGTGGCCGATGGCTCTACAAGGTGAAGCGGCCGCCTGGATCACCACCTGTGTTCAAGGCGCGCTATGTGGCGAGAGGCTTCAGTCAGCGAGAGGGGGTGGACTTCTTCCAGACCTTCGCTCCCACCCCGAAGATGAGTACTCTTCGGGTGTTGCTGCATATTGCAGCCCAGCGCGACTTCGAGTTGCACTCCTTGGACTTTTCCACCGCGTTCCTTAAGGGGAGCCTGCACGAGCAGATCTGGCTGCGTCGCCCACCTGGCTTCACTGGCTCTTTCCCACCTGGGAACCAGTGGCAGATGCGTCGACCAGTCTACGGCCTGCATCAGGCTCCACGTGAGTGGCACGACACACTTCGCTCGACCCTTGCAGCGCTTGACTTCTTTTCGTCGTCTGCTGACCCGTTACTGTTCGTTCGCCGTGGCTTGACCCCGTTCTTTGTCCTGGTCTACGTCGACAACCTGGTGTTCGCCACTCCCGACCAACGCGCGCTGGCCTCCGTGAAGGAGGAACTGCAGAGGAGACACACTTGCACTGACCTTGGTGAGCTGCAGCACTACCTTGGCCTGCAGATCACCAGGGACAGGGCAGCTCGCACCATTGCGCTGACTCAGTCGCATATGGTCGAGCAGATCCTCACGCGGTTTCGCTTCCCGTTCTCCAAGGTACAGCTCACCCCTCTTGGTGTGGATCATGGCCTCACGGCTCCACCTTCGAACGAGTCATTTGAGTCTAGTGGTCCATATCCTGAGCTGGTGGGTTGTCTCATGTACCTGATGACCTGTACTTGCCCAGACCTAGCTTACCCTCTTAGCGTCCTTACGCGCTTTGTTGCGCCTGGGAGACACCGACCTTCCCACTGGTAAGCGGCTAAAAGGGTGGCGAAGTATGTGGCGAGTACATCAGGCATGGGACTTGTCCTTGGAGGGAAGCAGCCAGTTACACTCACAGGTTACTCGGACTCGTCGTGGGCCGACGACGCGGAGACGCGTCGGTCTACACAGGGGTACTCCTTTAGCCTCGGGGCAGGTGCTGTTTCGTGGCGGTCGACTCGGGCGTCGTCCGTCTCCGGTTCCAGCTGTGAGGCAGAGGTGTACGCTGCGGCCATGGCCACTCAGGAGCTTCGCTGGCTGTCTTTCCTTCTCACCGTCCTTGGTGAGCGGCCTCGCTCTCCCCCAATCTTATTCGCCGACAACAGGTCTGCAATCCTGTTGTGTGAGGAGCCCCGACTGGTTGGGAAGGCGAAGCACATCCAGCTTCGTTACTTCCTTCTGCATGAGTTGCAGCAGCGTGGCCAGGCACTCGTTCGACGTGTGGTCTCTGAGGCCAACACTGCAGATATCTTCACCAAGGCGTTGCCGCCTTGTGACCACCAGCGTTTCTGCACCCAGCTTGCCCTTGTGCGGGCCCGTCCTCACTTGCTTACGTAGAGATGCCTTGTCCTGCATGTCTTGTACTCTTGCATCTCTTTATATTTGCTATATACCTGCATGTGGACTGGCCTTGTGGCCCCTTGCTTGCTCTCGGAGTGTGTGGTGACTTTGAGCTCCACCCTGAGATTTGTCTTGTTCTTGTGGACTGGTCTTGTGACCGTTGCTTGCTCTTGTTGTTTCTACAGGACTACCGTCACCTAGACTATGAGGGTGTGTCAAACTATAATTCTATAGTTTGTGTAGTTCTAGTCTAGGTGTTCTCCCTTGTGTTATTTTGTACTTGCACTAGGGTTAGGTTTTGCATATATCTTGTTTGTACTTTCTGTTTTCATCAATTCATTCTTATCGTAACAGTCATGGCACGCGGTAATGCTCAAGAACTTGTCCCGGAGTCTTTGCGCTCACTGCAGACTAGACACGCTCTGCCTCGAAAGAGCAACGATGCTCATAAGGTTCTAGGAAACAAATATGCCGCGGGTAACTTCCCTGTTTGATTTTGTTTGAACATAGTCATTTCATACATCTTACCCGCTTTCTTGTATTGTCGCAGAAGCTAGCCACGACGAGGATACCGACAATCAAGCGCCTCGTCGCCGTGGTACTGTCCAACGGCACAAGGAAGCGAGGCGGAGCCTCGATAACATCACCACCGGTTCCGCCGCTGGGACGACCGTGGCTGCACCAGCAGTAGGGGTGAACTCTAAACCCGACCCCCCTCGTCTGGCATTCTACGCTTCTGCCACCGGCGAAGTTCACCAAGTCCTCGGACAAGGTGCCGTGGGTGTCGATGGTTCCGCTTTTTCCCCTGGTCCCCCTGCTGCTGCTGCTGACGGTGTACCCCCTGCTGCTGCTGCTGCTGCTGCTGCTGCTGGATCTCCTCCTGCTGTTGCTGCTGCTGCTACCGGATCTCCCCCTGCTGCAGCTTCTACCGATTGTCCCCCTGGTGCTGCTGGTGTCGCTTCTAATGCTGTTGTCTCCACCGACAGAGCTGCTGCTGAGGACAGTACTTCTGTTTTCTATGATGTTGTTCTGTTTCCATTCAGCATACCGCTAAACTCTATTGTTGCTTTGGCGATATGCATGATGGTGTTCAGTTGCGGTTGATTGTATCTTTATAAGTCTTGCTGTTGCTTTTATTCTTTCCCCATTAACAGGAAACGTCGATCGCTCCTCGATGGAGTTGATTATGTCTCGGGCGCAAGGGAGAGTGTATGCAACTGAAGCCACTCGGTACAACGACGAGGCGCGCGCCGAACCAGATGTGAATGAGGAGCTGCGAGCTAAGGAGGAGAGTCAGAAGGCGATCGCAGGGGTTTATCAGAAGGAGAACGGGCGCCTCGCCGAAGACCTGAAAAGCGCCCTGGTGCTTTAAACGCACCTTGCGAAAAGTGGACCAGTCAACACTTGACTGGACGGTACGTCATTTAACCTTGCATCAAATATTCTAACTCTTGTTTGTTTCCTTTGTTTTTTTTCAGATAAATATCAAGGAGGCTTGCGACTACTTTTTGTTCAAGCAGGAGACTCTCAACCTCTTCCCCGATTCCGAGACCACACTCAATGCTTTGAGAAGTAAGTTTTAAACATGTTACGTGAAAGCTACCTGTATGTTTCCGTGCCATACTAATGCATGGTGATGTTACGCCGTGTGCATGGAAAGCAGGCTAAACCCTCGAGTCACCAGAAGGGGTGCAAGTGGCTAAAAATTCCAAGTCACAGGGCAAGCTGAAGGATGCTTGCGAGCAGTTTAACGACCGCATTGGGAAGATGTACCGATTCTGCCGCGTTTTTACGTTGAGAAGGGAGCCATGCGTCTTCATGAGAGAGAAGTGCACCCTGAAGGGCGAGCTCGCTTACTCCGAGCTCGATAACTTCGCTTAGCTGTGCCTAGACTACGTGAAGAACAATTCCTCCCGTAAGTGTTCAATGTTCTGCACAATGTGTATTCGTACTTTGTTGCGCGTCTGATTTTACATGTGCTTTCTCCACTTGGCAGAGTTGCTGGGGATCTATTGGCATTTGTGTGATAGGTCATCTTTTTCTAGCCTAGCGTTTATCAAGTGCGCATCATTATGGGACCCCGAATTCGATGGGAACCTTCCCATTGCATTGTTTCCCGATCAGCTGCTGTTTATCCTTGCTGCGGTAAGTTCTCTATTTGTTTATGTTATTGGTAATTCATGTTAAGTTGCAAATGTTTCAGGTGCAATTGTTTATGTTATTCTAACCGTTGGTTTTCCGGTGCATATGATTCAGGTGCGATTCAAGCACCGTTATCCGCACGTCAAAGCCCAATTCAAGCGGTCAGGGGACCTGGCAGCTTTCTCCAGGCAGGCACGGGTGGTGCATCGTTGGATCAATGAAATTCCTGTTGAACGTGACGGGGATTGTGTTGGCATTGGCAGCATCTCCATTGTTGGATGGGGAGAGATTTCTGAAGCAGAGCTAGAAGCAGATGAGCTCGGTGATTTGACCCGAGACGACCTCACCTCCAGGGCCTCTTATCGCAGGGTTTACAATGAAAACGAGGAGCAGATCCCGATGTTCTAGGTGTAGCCTTTATAATAAGTGTATGCATTATTATATCAATAAAAATAATTTACCTTCCAGGATTCTTGCTAGTATGGGTGGTAAAAATTATGGGATACATCAAAATTTTATTATATATCTTATCCAATTCACTATTACGGTACTGTCACGTTCGTTACAAGCACATGAAGCCATTTTTGTCGTCCAAACCCGAAACTATTAGAAACTAATACACGCAACCTTAAGGTTTTATCAATACGAAATGTGAAGGCGCACTTCCGTTAAACAAACAATGTTTTGTAGCTTGAACGTAATGACACGAAATTCATTCATTTGACTTTGGTCACGAAGTCTTTTTTTTTTGCGACTCTGCGTTTATCGATATTGTTTTGCTGAGGTGACACCGAATCGAGAAAGAACATCACGCCTAATGAAATCGACCCATATGTCCGTAATACACTCGCGAAGATATTCCAGAGCATTACTGCAGGCTCGGCAGCCAGGCATTCGCCCAACCAAAAACCGCTCGAGGTCTAGATGCCACTAGCCTAGCAAACCACTCGCCGAAACCAGGCAATTGCTTGGAGTAAAAAACCACTCGCTAGCAAGTGGTGCCCCGAACGATTGCGGGACCCCCAAATTTCCCGATGTTCCTCTTTCATATCGTTGAGATGGTAACTGTCGAAATACTGAACGAGGATGAATGAACTAGGAACAAAGTGGGTACAAGTACTAACCCTAATTAGGTTGTACCCCTTATGGGCTACCCCACTACAGCCTACACAACTCAAACATTATAACAGTTTGACACACCCCCATAGGCAAAGTGGGGGAGAACAAGAGGTCACAAGACCAGTCAAGAAAAGCAAAGCAAGCTCAGGGTGGATCACGAAGTCACCACACACACTGAGCACAAGCAAATGGCCACAAGGCCAGTTCACATGCAGAGTTATATAAATGAGAACAAGCAGTACAGTGATCACAACCTAGCAAGTGGAAGCATGCAGATGTATATATATAGACCACAGTACAAGCAAACTCACGCAATGAGCAAGTGAGACCAAGCAGGCAGAAAGCCTAAAGCGGTACAGAAACGCTGATGATCACCAATCTGAAGTGCCTTGGTGAATATATCAGCAGTGTTGGCCCGAGTGGCCACGTAAGAAAGACGAAGCTGACCACGCTGCTGCAACTCTCGAGCAAGGAAGTAACGCAGAGCGATGTGCTTTGTCTTGTGCTCCAGTCTGTGCTCCTGACACAAGGCAATCATGCCCTTGTTGTCTACGTACAGAACTGGAGGAGAACGAGGCGGCTCTCCCAAGTCGGTGAGCAGGTAGGTGAGCCAGCGTAACTCCTGTGCAGCCATGGCCCCTGCGTAGATCTCAGCCTCACAACTGGAGCTGAGAACAGAAGACGAGCGGGTAGACCGCCAAGAAATAGAGCCGGAGCCAAGGCTGAAGGTGTAACCCTGTGACGACCGCTGCGTAGCCAGGTCCACAAGACCGCAGCACTCCCGGCGGTGGGGACCTGCGGGTCCACAGTGTGGCGCCCTCAGCAGCGGCTCAGCTAGCAGTGGGCGAGACGTTGGCCCCTTCGGGTACCGGGCCCTGACTGGCCCTGGTGCCGGCACTACCTGCTGGAGCCCTGACCACTCTGCGTCCCGCTGCTACCGTCGCCTCGACGACCTCCACCGTGAGCGTTTTGGTCCTCACGCTATTACACCGCACTGGCCTTCACGTCTTCGCCAGCGCACTGTTGCACCAGTTGAGTCCCACCTACCTGGTCTAGGACGTTCCCCGACAGCACGAGTAGAGACCTGTGTTTCCAGTCTTGGTGCGTCTGTTGTTTCCAGTCCAGGCGCCTCTGAGGGTCTTTGTGTAGGAGCTGCAGCTACCACTAGTCAGCACCAACCTTTTTAGCTGGTTCGGGTGCGACCTCACTGCACAGCTTTCCTTCACCCTAGACTCTGGAGCGTCCAGCTGTTTCTTTCGCGACTGTACTGACCTCACACCACTGTGCACTCCAGTCACTATCGCCTTGGCTGACCCCTCTATGGGACCTGTAGTTGCCCGCAGCACCACCACTCTCCCGTGTCCGGCGGCTCCCTCTGGTTCCTCACAGGTTACTACACCCCCTCGTTTTCCAGGAACCTGGTGGGTGTCAGTCACCTCCACGACCTAGGTGTAGTTACTACTTTCCCAGTCGACGAGCCTATTGCCTCCTGCACAGTCGGTACCACTGGGGCCCCTCTGGCCACTTTTCACAGGAAGCCGGGCTCTGGTCTGTACTCACTACACACGAGGTCCCACCACACTGGGTCAGGTCAGGTCAGGTAGCTGCTGTATCGTGTAACTGTCGGTCCCTCACCCACCCGTCGGTCCTATGGCACCACCGTCTTGGTCACCCGTCGTTCCCGCGTCTCAGTAGGATGGCACGTTACCATCTGGTCTCAGGTCTCCCAGAGTCGCTTGCACCACTTCCCCGCTCGCTTGCTCCGCTGTGCACTCCTTGCGTCGAGGGTCGGCAGCGCTCTGCCCCTCACTCCTCCTCGTTCCCCCCCACCACGGCTCCCTTCCAGACACTACACTTGGATGTCTGGGGCCCCTCCCCGGTCCTTGGGCCACGTCAGGGGCGCTACTTCCTGATTGTGGTGGACGACTACTCCCGCTACTCCACGGATTTCCCCTTGCGACGGAAGGCCGACAGTATGGCTAAGAGGATGGCGAAGTATGTGACGAGTACATCAGGCATGTGACTTGTCCTTGGAGGGAAGCAGCTAGTTAAACTCACAGGTAACTCGGACTCGTCGTGGGCCGACGATGCGGAGACGCGTCGGTCTACACAGGGGTACTCCTTTAGCCTCGGGGCAGGTGCTGTTTCGTGGCGGTCGACTCGAGCGTCGTCCGTCGCCGGTTCCTGCTGTGAGGCAGAGGTGTATGCTGCGGCCATGGCCGCTCAGGAGCTTCGCTGGCTGTCTTTCCTTCTCACCGACCTTGGTGAGCGGCCTCGCTCTCCCCCAGTCTTGTTCGCCGACAACAGGTCGGCTGTCCTGTTGTGTGAGGAGCCCCGACTGGTTGGGAAGGCGAAGCATATCCAGCTTCGTTACTTCCTCCTGCGTGAGTTGCAGCAGCGTGGCCAGGCACTCGTTTGACGTGTTGTCTCTGAGGCCAACACGGCATATATCTTCACCAAGGCGTTGCCGCCTTGTGACCACCAGCGTTTCTGCACCCAGCTTGGCCTTGTGCCTGCCCATCCTCATTTGCTTACGTAGAGATGCCTTGTAATGCATGTCTTGTACTCTTGCATCTCTTTACATTTGCTATATACCTGCATGTGGACTGGCCTCTGGCCCCTTGCTTGCTCTCGGAGTGTGTGGTGACTTTGAGCTCCACCCTGAGATTTGTCTCCAGCTCCAGCGCCTCCAGCTCCAGGGTCTCTAGCTCCAACACCTGCAGCACCACCAGCTCAAGTAGCTCCAATACCTTAAGTACGAACACCTCCAGGACCAGCGGCTCCAGCACCTCCAGCACCTCCAGCACCTCGAGTACCAGCAGCACCACCAGCAGCGGCAGCTCCAATACCTCCAGAACGAGCACCTCCAGGACCAGCAGCTCCAGCACCTCCGGTACCTCCAGCTCCAGCGCCTCCAGCTCCAGGGTCTCTAGCTCCAGCACCTGCAGCACCACCAGCTCCAGCAGCTCCAGTACCTCTAGTACGAGCACCTCTGGGACCAGCAGCTCCAGTGCCTCCAACTCCAGTGCCTCCAGCGACAGGCCCCCCAGCTCCAGCAGCACCACTCCGAAGGCGGGTGCGCCGAGCAAACCATTCGCGCAGCTGCGGTGG